CCCCCCGCCTGCCCACCCACCCACCTCCAACCCACGCGGGCGCGGGGGGGGGGACACTCACTGGCGGCAGCGTGCGGCGCGCGGTCCCCGAAAGTGATGGGCTTGCGAAGGCGACCGTGCCGAGAGGGTCCTCGCTCCGAAGGACCGCCGAGGTCTGCTCGAGAGTCGGTTTCCGCGCTCCTCGACCCCCCTCAGCCCCGATCCCGTCCAAATCCTGATTTCGGGTCCCTTCCTTCGGCAAGCCGGGCGGCGGCGGCGGCGGCGACTGCGACGCGCTCCTCCGCTCAAGCTCTGCACTGCAGATCAGGAGGACGCCCAGAGAAACGCCAGCCTCGTCCCTGGGCAGGAGGGGAGCCCCGCGTGCGCAGGCGCAGGCGCGCGCCTTGCCAGCCAGCCAGCTCTCGGCCGCCGATCGCAGGGAAAGCGGCGGCAGCGGCGGCCACCCTTCGTATCCGCGGCTCGACCGCTCCTGGGCGTGCGCGCCCACCTGAGCAGGCGCAGTGCGCTCCCTCGACGCCGCTGCCCACAAGAGGGAGAAAAAAGGCTCCAAGTCTAAAGCTGGCTTGCCTCAGCAGCGACGGCGGGCGGGCTAAGGGGGGGGGGGAATGGATGGCGGCCACGCCTAGGGAAGGCGGGGCAGAGGACATGCGACGGAGGGGAGCGATGCCTCGTTGGGGTGTGCTCCCCGTTAGCCTCCCAGGATGAGAAGAGTATTTATTTGCTCCCCTCCACCGCTGATACTTGTTTCCTTGCTCTCTATTTGTTTATTTATTTATATTCCACCTACGCCCCTGGCGCTGAGCATGGAGAAAAGAAGGAAGTGTAAAGGGTTTATCTGTGGATTTGAGAGAGAAAAATTGTGGAAAAACATCAACAATCTCAAGGCTACAAGTCCATCTCCAGAGATCTTAATGTTTCTGTGTTCACTGTGTGGGCAATATCATCAATAGCTTTACAGCCCATGGCACTGTAGCTAACCTCCCTGGACGTGGACGGAAGAGCAAAATTACTGAACTATTACAACGAAGGGTTGTTGGAATGGTGGATACAGAACCCAGATTAACTTCCAAACAAATTCAAGCTGATCTGCAGACACAGAGCACAATAGTGTCAGCTTCCAATATCTGTTGCCATCTGAATGAAAAGGGACACTATGGTAGGAGACCCAGGAGGACACCACTGCTGACACAAAGGCATATGGGGTATGCCAAAACTTATGTGACAAAACCACAGTCCTTCTGGGAGAATGTACTGTGGGCTGATGAGACAAAAGTAGAGCATTTTGGTTAAGGACATCATGACAGTCTTTACAGAAAAAAAATGAGGTATTCAGAGAAAAGAACACAGTCCCTACAGTCAAACATGGTGGAGGTTCAAAGATGTTTTGGGATTGCTTTGCTGCTTCTGGCACTGGATGCCTTGACTGTGTGGACGGTATCATGAAAACTGATGATTACCAAAGAATTTAGGGCGCAATATAGTGGCCAGGGTCAGAAAGCTGCATTTCCATGGGTCTTCTAGCAGGACAATGACCCAAAACACACTTCAAAAAGCACTCAGAAATGGTTACAAACAAAGCGCTGGAGAGTTCTGAAATGGGCAGCAATGAGTCCAGATCTGAATCCCATAGAACACCTGTGGAGAGGTCTCAAAACAGCAGTTGGGAGAAGGCATCCTTCAAATCTGAAGGCCCTGGAGAATTTTGCAAAAGAAGAGTGATCCAAAATTCCAGTAGAGAGGTGTAAGAAACTCATTCATGGTTACAGGAAGCGATTGATGTCAGTTATTTTTTTCCAGAGAGGGTGCTACCAAATATTAAGTTAAGGGTGCCAATAATTTTGGCCAGTGCATTTTGGAATTTCTATGTGGGATTGCATTAGATTTGACTTTTCTTCTCTGGTTCTTTGTGTGTGTGTGTGTGTGTGTGTGTTTCCAACGCAAACCAAAGAAATGAACATGGGAGTACCAATTTTCTGCCAAGTGCAACAATTTTTCTGAGAGAAGGGTTGCATTTTCTGACAGAATTGCAAGGGTGCCAATATTTTTCGCCATGATTGTATGTACCTCTAAGTAAAACCTAAGCCAATTATAATAGAAGGCGACCAAATTTTTTTTTGGGGGGGGGGAATCTGAAAACATCGGTTTAAAAAAAGGCAGCACACACCAGTGAGACGATCCGCCTTTTTTTCAGAAGCCTTTTTTTTTTCAGAAGCCGTTGGGTCAATGTGGGTTGCCTCCTGGTTTCCGTGGCCAAGCGCAGGCCTTCCTTGTGCTCCCGCTCCCTGACCTGTCTGCCTCCCTTTGCCCCTTGACGCCTCCACCCTCTTCCCCTCCCAAGCAGTTCGAGAGCTTTGCTTTCCAAAAAAAAAAAAAAAAAAAAAAAAAAGGTGAAAAAGCTTCAGGCTGGGACAGTCCCACCGGACTGTACGTATTGGAATTTGTTTGCTCCTTTTTAATATGTGTATACTTTTGGGTTGTAGCACTGATATTGACTTTTAAGGATACAGTATAAGCTTCCCTTGTGCACTCATTGTTTTTTGGCTTTAAATATTGCCTTTCAAGGACATAAGCCGCCATAGGTCCTTTTTAAGGAGAAAAGTGGGGGTAATTTTGTAAAAAAATAAATAATAAATAAATCATTGCACATTAGAAGTGCTGCGATGCATATTGCAAACAGAACAAAACATCTAGGGGTTGGGAGGGATAAAAATGTATGGGAACTTGTGAAAACAAAATACTCTACAGTGGTGCCTTGCATTACAACGTTACACTCTACAGTGGTGCCTTGCATTACAAAACGTTAATTTGTTCCAGCGAAATCGCTGTAGAACAAACATGTCATAACGCGTAAAGAAAAACCCATTGAAATGCATTAAAACCCATTTAATACGTTCCAAAGGGCTGTAATCTCACCGTCCAGCGAAGATCCTCCATAGGGCGGCAATTTTCGCTGCCTGTGCAGCAAGGACTCCATCCCAGAAAACAGCAGGGGGCCATTTTGTTTACCTGGTGGCCATTTTGAAACAGCCGATCAGCTCTTGGAAAATCATCGTTTTGTGAAGAATCGGTTCCCGAAGCAGGGAACCAATCATCGCAAAGCGAAATTCCCCCATAGGAAACATTGTTTTGTGATCGCAAAAAGTTCATCGTAATGCGGTTTCGTTGTTAAATGGGGCAATCGTAAAGCGAGGCACCACTGTACAAGCGAAGAAGAGGAACAACATTTTGACAGCAGGGAAATTTACAGTAAGAACAACGTGCAACCCAGTCTTGAGGGCAAAACAAATGCCACGTCTGGAAAACCCCTGGAGTGGAAAAAGTCTACCTGAATAGAACATTATTTGCCAATTTGAAACAGAGACGGCCTATTTAATTATTTGTTACTCTCTTTTTAGCGTTAAGAGAGGGAGAGAATTGCTTAGAAGAATGTTCTGTCTCTGTTCAGCTTGTGGTGAGTGGGTGGGTAAGAGCTGTCCTTTGACGCTTTAAGCAATCATCTTGGGCCAGCCCTGCTCCAACCACTTATCACTGTCTAGAAATGTGCCTTGCCTTAGTTTTCTCTCTTAAATCCAACACCTGAAATTATTTACCACTACCTGGTAGGAGAAGAGCAGAGGCACAAGCTATAAAAGAAATCTGCTACAAAGTGCATCTCTCCTCACTTTGTATTTCTATTTTGTCTTTTGCCCCTAAATTCAATTTACAGCTTTTCTCTATTGCACACCTTTGTTCACTTGATTGATTGCTATTCAAGCTTTCTCACAAGATCTCAATGAAATTAAACAAAAGAAATCCAATTAAAGTGCTCAATGGATACCAGCCAAAGAGACTTAAAATACAGCTTCACGCCTTGAAAACTGAGGTTCCACTCTCTCACCCTACCCGTTTATTCTTCTGCCTTTTTACTAATCATGAGGAATTCTCTCTATGCAACTATTTGATTATTTGTTTATATTTTGATTTATTTCCACAATTTGAATGCCACGGTGAGAAATACCTTCTTTCCACAAAATGGAAGATCTCAGAAGCGAAGACAGATCTTGGGAAAGTTCACATGGAAGAAGTGATTTAACAAGCTTGCCTTCGGGAGCATGTCCAATTTAAAATGTACCTTGCCAAATGCATTTCAGGATATTCCTGTTTTAGCTAAGGAAATCTCTTCCTTTTTCTTTCCTTTTTTTTCTTTGAAAGGTTAAGTCAGGAGACTGTTTGTCTGGCCTCACAATGGAGGCAAGGCAAATATTTCTCTCCATTCAGAAACCACCGACTAAAAAAGAAAAGAGGGGTGTTTGTCTGCTAAGTACAAAGTCCAGTTTCAGCAGATGATGACAATGGCTGGTCAGAACATTAGATTAAAGCATAATTGGTCATTTAGAGTGCAGATCTACTGTCCTCTAACATGACTGGACAAGTGCATTCACATACATTTTCAGTGAAGTGCAGTTTGTTGTTTCGCCCCAAACCAATGAACTGTTTAGTTTTAACAGTTTATCCAAAAAGGTCAGAATCAGAAACATGTTTTACAGTGGCTTTTTTCAAGAGAAACAAACTATGCCTTTTTTGGCAACATTAGTAATTATGTGGTAAATGAGTAGAAGCTAGACCCTATCTTCCTCATATTGTAACTCATTGGCTGCATTTTGTTGTAAAAGTAAGTCAGAAGGAGTTTGCACAGGCCCAGTTCTGTAGAACTAACAACTGATTTTTGTTTCATCTGAACTGGGAAAATCCATGGATTGTTTTACCTCTCATTTGTCATACATAACCTCCCATTTCTTTATTCTTTAAGGGATAAATAATTTTCAAGATACCAAAAGGCGCAGTATCAGATTGTTTTCTAAACTGCAACAGGAGGCCCATGATATACAATCAGTGTTTTGGATTTTTGCACAGTACAGTGGGGTCTCTACTTAAGAACTTAATCCGTATTGGAAGGTGGTTCTCAAGTTGAAAAGTTCTTATGTTGAATCTGCATTTCCCATAGGAATGCATTGAAAACCATTTAATCTGTATCTGCTCTTTTCCGTCCATAGAAACTACAGTGGAACCTCTACTTAAGAACTTAATCGGTTTTGGAATGGTGTTCTTAAGTTGAAACGTTCTTAAGTTGAAGCAAAATTTCCCATAGGAATGGACTGAAAACCAATTAATCCGTTCTGGCTGTTTTTTTGTTATGTAGAGGTGTGTTCGTACCTTGAAGCATTAGTTCCCATAGGAACTAATGCAAAGCTGGTTAATACATACTCTACCACTAGGGGGAGAATTTTTTTAACCTAAGATGACCTAAGGTTAAAAAAAGAGCAGGAAAGGTTTTTTTCCTGTTCTTATCTTGGATTTCTGTTCTCAAGTAGAAGCAAAATTTAGCAAATGAAGCTGTTCTTAAGTTGGATTGTTCTTAAGTAGAGACGTTCTTAAGTAGAGACCCCACTGTAAACTGATTGTGC